TTTAACAGTACTTTCATCACTTAGCAAAATATTATATATTAGTATTTCATCACTTAGCAAAATATTATATATTAATATTTAAATATTGACAATGTTCTGCGTAAGTATTTTATCACTGGACGAAGTATTACATATCAATTTTTAAGTATTGAAATCAATCATAAGGTAGGATTTGTAACATTAAATATTGAAATGTTTGAGTACTAAAAGCTGTATTTGAATCACAGAATATTACTAAATACTGTACTTTTAATACTGAAAATAAGTAATTAATCAATGATTCTTAGTATGATATTTCTATAAGGGAAGGTCTGATGAATACGGCGGATGCGGTAGCAGATCCCATTTCAGCGTTTTGATTGTGTCCTGGACGATGGAAGTGCGATGACACGGAGCGTTGTCGTGCTGCAATATCACTCATTCGTGTCTCGTGTCCCATTCTGGTCGTTTTTCGAGCAATGCATGGTTCAAATTGATCAGTTGTTGTCGGTAGCCCATTGACAGTTTCACCCGGTTTCAGCAGCTCATAGTACACGATTCCTTCCTGGTCCCACCAAACGCAGAGCATTGTCTTCTTTCCGAAGCGATTTGGCCGTGCCGTCGATGTTGATGCTTCGCCAGGTGAAAGCCACGATTTTTTGCGTTTGGGATTCTCGAAATATATCCACTTCTCATCGCCAGTAACAATTCGATGCAGGAAACTTTTTCTTTCATGCCGCAAAAGCAAAATTTCGGAAGTGGCTCTTCGATTTGTCATCTGTCAACTCATGCGGTACCCATTTTCCTTTTGAATTTTTGCCATGGCATGTAAACGTTTGGAAATACCTTGGCGAATGTTTAATGCCTCCGCAAGTTGATCTTGTATTTGCGTATCATCTTCATCCAATAACGTTTGCAGATCGGCGTTCTCAAATGTTTTTGGTCTTCCGGAGCGCTCCTTGTCCTTATGCCCGTATTCATAAATGACTCTTATTTTAAGGATTGAGGAAGCCTTGTTGGAGGAAACCTTATTTGATCAAGGCTTCCTTGTTTCATAATGTGCACTTAAGATTTCCTTGTAGAAGGAGCTTGTTTCCTAGGGATTTTTAGTAATTTATGATTAAAACCTGCATTATGTCACCGTTTATTGAATAGTTTAGACAGAGTGCAAATAATTAGGTTATATTTATTTACAGTATAGTATAGTATAGTAGACAGTATAGTAGACAATATAGTAGACAATACAGTAAAGTATAGTAGATAATTAGTATACTGGCATAAATGCAATTCCCTTATAGAAATATCATACTAAGAATCATTGAT